TTCTCTAAACTAGGGAATTTTCGAAGTCGAGAACGCGTTGGACGAAGAAAAGAAAGAGAGGAAAATGGCGACTGTGGAACACGCGAAAACGTGTCCCACGAGTTTCATAAATTTCGTGGGTTTATTTTAAATGTGGGTCGAATATTATTATTCTATTCGAGTTTCAAATTCAGAATATATTTTATAGTTGGTAATTTATAAATTTCGTTCCTCGGAAATTTTTAATCGCTCCAAGAATTTTCTCATTCGATCAATATGCAAATGTAATCGCATTTACAACGAGAAGCTTCTTTTTTTATAATGGAAAACGAAGGCAGGAATTTAGTTTCGAGATAGTCTGGGTGATTTTCCTATTTTTATCTGCAAAGAAGTGGCTTCAAATGGCGCCACTGGTGTACAAAGAATTAATAGGTTAATGCTCTGAATTGATATCTCTGAAAGGAGGTTATTAGTTTTACGAGCTTAATAATTTTCAGATTTCGCAGAACGAGGAAAGAGAATTTTTGGTGTATGATGTCTATATTTTATTTATCAGGACGAGTAAATGAAATAAAATTTTCAATCTTCGTTTCCTACGTCGAGTTACTTACTAGGTCAGAGTTGCAAGGAGACAGCGATTTTACGATACTCCTGGTGAAAGAAGTCCTTTTACTGAAAATATCTTTCACGGTTATCGTTTTAGTACCATTGGAAAAGCGAATAAAGTGCTTTCAAGTTTGTCTTGCTAGCGTTTTCAAATATGCAGAAGCCCGGTATCCTGACAAAGTAAGCACTTCGAAATAATATTTAACGGAACGAAGTCGTTTCTTCCGGAATTAATAATCATTATTTCCTTTTTTGCAATTAAAATTTCTCTTTCGCGCGACTCTTCCTCGAGACGCTTTAAATTATTCGCGAAACAAAATATTTCTCCATCTCCTCCTATTCGTAGAAGGAATAATTAAATTTTTCAGTTTTTAAATCATTTTTCCAGCGACGGAAAATTGATTTATTCGCAGAGGAATATTTTTATTTCGGAGAGGTTTCGCGGAGCTTTCTCTTGCCCGATTTCGAAACCGTATCGAGCATTCTTAGCCGACGAAATCGATTCGAAACACTCGAACGTTGTTCCTCGTAAGCATTTCGCTGCATCTTCGTTATTCAAACGAAACCGAGCAAGATCTCGATAACCGTGGCTGTATTCGAGGATTAAATTAGCATTAATGGTCGCGATTAATTCAAGCTCGAGCACCGGCAACCGATCCAAGTGTTCGTCGATAGAGACCCTGAGCTATTCTTCGGGAATGGAAGAGGAAAAACTTTCGACCAAGGAGAATCTCGGTGTGACAAATCAACCGAAATTGAAAAATAAAAAGTTTGTCAAACTTGGGTCGATAATTTCAAGGAAGGGATATCCTCTTAATTCGCGAATCTTCTACTTCGCGTATTTTAAGAAAATAAATATTTAAACATTTACAGGAGATTCTTGAGAATTTTCCGGGATTCTTGAGAAGAGGGGATCTTCAGTCGGGATGTATTCGGGGATCTCGAAACCCGATTATTTGGAATTTTACACACCTCTAATCAGAAGCCATTGATTTATCTCTGAAAATTTTCCAGAGCGAATTAGGTACTAAAAAATTAAAAATTTCGAATCGAGATCTCGCACACCTCTAATCAGAACTCATCGACTTACCTTTGAAGATTTTCCAGGGCAAATTGGATACTCGGAAATGGAAAATTTCGAATCGGGATTTCGCATAATTCTAATCAGAAGCCATTGATTTACCGTAGAAAATTTCCCACAGCAAACTAGGCACCTGAAAATTTCGAATTAGGATCTTCTAAACCCATGATATTTACATTCAAATTTGTCCTTTTTTTTTCTTTGAATTAAGGAATAAAAGGAAGGTTGATTTTGATACATAGAAAATGGTATGGCATCTGAATGTTTTATACGATGCAAGGCGAGTTTTGGAATACGTTGCTTTTGAGTAGATGAAAATAGCCCTAGGGAGATGTTACGCCACCTAAACGAGACACAGCAGAGACCTAACACGTAACGCATTTTTGTGTCGCGTGGCATAAGGGTTCTGGAACTTCCAATGTTATCCATTCGCAGCAAAGTAAGAGAGAAACGGTGTTATTCGTCGAAATAAAAACGAAATGTCATTGTCTCAGGAGCGAAGTTTAGGGTAACACGAACGCGAAGTAACAATGTTGCTGTGCTTTTATAAAATCGTGTTTCTATAAAATACATACAGTAGTATGTATCACGTGTAACAAATGCAAAATTGAAAAGAAAATTTGTCGTTATTTCGAAATATATTTCAATTATGTACGATAAATCATGGAGTAATCAAAAATATTCCAATAATAGATATCCCAGTTCGATGCTGAATTTTCCTTTCCAATTGTACGGGAAAAATAAATCGTCCAACAATTAAAAAATAATATATATAATAAAATATAAAAAATAATAAAATAATAATCGAATAACGGGTAGTATTATTGTATAAAAATATTTTTTCGTCACCCCGTCCTCTCTCTCTTTCTCAAGTAAGAAGCACATAAATATTTAAAAAGAAGATTGACCAGTGGTGACTTCACGAGCTCTAATTTATGCAAAATTGAACATACAGAGGCATCAAAGATAAAAGGATTTACATGTCGTTTCATGATATAATACCCGGTATACTTGAAAATATTTCAATCGAATTGAAATTCTTCTTTGACCTACGTTTTATGTAAGCTGTTAAAAAATTTTCAAGCTCCTATCAAAACACTTACTGTTAGTGGTGGATGAAATATCAATAACAATATGAACAGTTCTTTATTTAACCCTTTGTACTCGACGATCTTTTGGCTAAAGATGAGTCGGAGTTCAAAGATTTTCTGCTATAAAGCTGGCGATATTTCTTTCAGTAATAAATAAGAAATCGTATAATAATTAACACGTAGAATTATTTGATTTCGATAGCTCGCACACCGTTACATTATATTAAATTTGACATATTAATTAATATCGAACTTCGAAATTTTATCTAATGGTGACTGATGGTCACTTCTCGAGTGCAAAAGGTTACCACGTTGTTGACTGGTGACGAGTTAACTCGTCATTGCACTTGCATTATCCATTTCAATTTATGAAACCCAGGGCGAAATAGAATACTGCGTGTGAAAGTGATTTTGAAGATTGGATTACAAAATAGTAGCCGGTGACATGACATAGCTTCTGTGTAAAATTGTCTGTCAACAATATGTTAATTACAAAAAATGATCAAACACGAATATTAAATATAAATCTAATTAATTTCTCGCAGTCACATGCTCACACATATTTTCACTATATAACTCAATTACAACTGACCTATGCCCAATCTCTTTGGTTTGTTCTTTCCACTTTCATACATTACATGAACATACACAGTTCAAGCAACACCTCAATCATTACACGCGTACTCATTTATCACAGTAACCTGAATCATTAGATATTGGCATCCATGCATACTTGTTCTATTCATCCCTTTCTTACAGACATACAGACAAACGTTGTGTCACGTAATGCTGTATTTAATATTAAATCTTAATTAAACAACCCCTTTCTTCTGTGTCGTGTTTCGAGACAGACTAACGAAATTAAGAAGAATTCCAGTGGAATTCGTGGAAAATCCTGCTTCGTTTGCCTAAAATTGTTGCACTCTCATCGCGTGTGCTGTCTACGACAGAATGGATAATTGCATGGTAGATATGCAAATTTCCGAGATTCTCCTCTATCTACGAACAAACACGGTTTTCCTTCGCAAAACTAACTTCAGTTCCTACTCGACACTTTAAGGATCTCGCTATGCGAACTCCGTCTTACAAACCCATTAACATCGCTCATTATAAAACGACTGCCTCGTGTCAATATAGCGGTGTGCTAACGGAATAATAGCACTATAATAATAATTAAATGCGAAACGAAAATTTAATAAAATCGAGGAAACTTTGAAATAATTTTTAACGTTATAGAAATAAATAATTAAATAATTAATCATCACATATAGTAGAACGATTAACACTTTGACTGGCTACGGTGGTCATTGGTGACCGAAGCACTTGAACTACTTGAACTACTTGAACTACATGGAACTCCTTTGAATGAAAATTGACAGTTACTGTATTTTGAATATAAGTGCTAATTAAAAGATACTTTGAAATAAAAAGTGACCTATTGAACAATTGAAAATTTTTATTAGAACGTCTAAAACATATTAGAACAAATCTTGCATCTAGCGGTGCACTCCCGTGGCGTCCTGAGGAAAACACGTAATTTCGGCGTGGCAGTCAAAAGGTTAAAGAAATTCTTTATTTTTAACATTACCCAGTGTCATCGGACCATTCCCTCGTTAAATATTCAAAAATGAAATTAAATAATAATTCGGATAATTTTTCCTCCGTATAATACTAAAATAAATAATTCTTATTTAACAAGATAAGTAAAATAATTCCTCCGCAAGTACGGCGTTTATAGAAATAGTTTCATGCTCGATATTGTACACCAACCAAATCGCAATAGTGAATCGAAGCACCTCACAATCTCGGTAGATATTTCACGATTCACGCGTCGCGATCCATCTATCATCTCGCGACGAGGACGAGAATTTTCCATTAACCTGTTAACTGGGAAAAACGAGTTAACTCGTCACTCGTATCGTCCTCGTCTCGAACGTGACAATTCGCGTACCTGTGTATCTCTTACCTTCGATACACTATTGCGATATTCGACATACCTACCTTACGTCATATTCGTCCCCCTCCCCCCCATTCGTTTCTTCCAGGCTAAAATCGAAATGGACCGAATTGCCAAATCGGTAAACAAACAACGAAATTATTTTTCACTTGCAGGAACCAGCTTCTGATTTAACGTGCGACCCAGTTAACAGGTGAACGTGTCATGATCCTCCACTTTAGTCAGAACTTTGCACGCTTTATCTCTTGCTTTGTAACGACACTCAGGAATTCGCTCTCTGTTTCAGGGGTACGAGGGGTCCCTGCTGAAAGTCACAAGCAAAAATGGGAAAACAGCGTCGGTGAGTCATTATTTTTTCAAATTACCGGTCATATTTCACCGCGTGATATCTCTCGCTCTGTGACGCGTGTTAAAATAGGAAAAAAATAAAAATAAAAATAAAAAATAAAAATAGGAACACAGGAAAAGAAGGAAAACGAAAAGCAAAGTGGAGTAAAAGGTGGAAAGAAATAAAACACGCGGTATCACGTGCTTTTAACGATGGATCCGCTCCAGATTTCCGCTCAACCATTTTCCATACGCGTTTATCGAGGGAAACGAAGAAAGGAGAGAAATAAAGGAGGAGATGGAGAGAGAGAGAGAAATGATGGAAGGATGAAATCGAGGTATTCCTTCGCGGGTACACTGATTCCCTTTTACGATTCCGCAGATTTTTCCATCAATCGATGGAACAGGTCGACAAAGCGTCGAGATTTTCTTGCGATTATTCGTTGGCAAGGAAACAGATGGGAAAACTTGCCGCGAACCGGAAGTTCCAATCGAGTTCCACGGCCGAGAATAGTTCGTCCGCCTTCGAGGATAATTTTTCCTTTTTTCGATTTCTCTGCCTTTGTTCGTTCTCGTCGATTCGAACGCCTCGATATGGATAAAAGCGGCGATATTTTCGAGAATTTTCGTTTTACCTCTCGACTGCGTGTTTTTCCGATGTTTGCGCAAATTTTAAACAGCATTTTCTCAATTTCGTTCAATATTCTGCCAGCTTTATTTCCATGCTTCCGTCTGATAATTTATTTATGCGAAAATTTTCGACTGCATAATTAATTGTGAAAAATTGCGTGCATTGGAAAGTGGCGCTTGTTGAGGGAAATTAAAAAAAGCAAAATGATCGTTCTCGAATTTTTGCATACACGCTCGAATTAAAAATAGGATAAACGGGTAATATTTTGTACATCTATGAACGAGAGTCCTTTCTTCGAATATCTCGACAGCTTATTTCGAGGATAGAAGATATGCAAATATTCGCAAACGATCACCCTGCTTCCGAAATTTTCCCGTTCAATTCCCAAAAATTTTGCAGAATGAAATAAATTCATAAAATTAACTATAATTTTACTCGCGTGCTTACCAATATTGCCTAATGACGATCTAGATCTTCCGTTTTAACGCGAATAATTAACAGACTGGAATCGCTATTTCAATTAAAAAATTCAATAATTTCATCCAGTCTTATCCTCAAAAAATTATTCGAGTAGCCGAGCTTCCTCTCGACTCTATTCACCTCATTCAACGAATCCAGAAAAATTCTCTGGCACCGACAGTCAAAGGAAAAGTCGGTTTCAACGACTTATAAGAGTCGTTGAAACCGAAAAAGAAAAAGGAGAAAAAAATATAGCGGATCTTTGATCAGAACAGAACAGAATCAGTCAATCTGTCTCAGAATTATGACTCGTTCAATCGTTTTCTTCCTTAAATGTACTTTTATGCTCCCATTTATGCGATAACACGCGAATACGTCGACGAGGAACCGCGTTAAACGCGTTTCACGACTAAGTATAATAGCATCGTCAGCCAATCGCGATTCTTTCATGTCGCAATTTTTGCATCTGAGAATTTACAACAGCTCGTCTCCACAGATTTAAACATGATTTCCTCCGTGTCGATACAATTAGCGCTAACTATATCACAGTCTAAGCAACCTTTCTTCATTATCATTATTATTATCATTATTAAATTTTCAGTAAAAAATCCCGCATTCTCGCTATGATCGCCCGATTTTCATTTTCCACTTTTCTGCAAAATTCCTTTTAGTATACGTGTTACGAATTTTTCTTACGAACCCCTGGCGCTCGACGAAACACTATGCCGCGACAACGCAAACATGGCCGCTGTTTTCCCTGCCGATCGCGTTCCACCTGATCCGCACCAACGTAAACGTTATTCCCCGATATTCTCGCCATCGTCGGTCCGACTTCGCTTATTTATCGTTAAACGCCGAGCGGAGGATACCGTTCGCCGGAAGCGTCTCGATTTGATCCGGTCGCTCGGTGAGAAATATTTTTCCAAAGCTCGGCATACTCCATTTATCACGATGCGCGGCTGTTATCGACACGGACACGGGAAACGAATTAAACGAAACCGCGAAGAAAAGCCGCCGCAATGACTCGCGCGGAATCCCGAAGATTTCATCACCGTTACGACAAATCGATCTCGAACAGCGTCTGCCCGCGCGGGTAACGAGAATCCGGTTAGCGATAAACGCGTTAAAGAGGAAGAAATTTACCGTAATACGCTTGAATATTTAGCGGACGATTTACAGACCGTGCACGCGTAATCTCTCAAACTGGAACGCTCTTTCGCGATTAGGAGCTCTTCGCGTGTCCCGGGAACCATGGCAGAGAAGCTTTAGCGATGTCACCGCATCCCACCCCGCTATTTTTTCCCGCCAGGAGAACTCGCGAAAATATTTCCCGAAGGAAAAAACGACGGGCAGGAAGCCTCGAGTTGGAAATAAACAGGGGTCGGAAGTTCGGGTGACCGAAGCAAGTTGGATTCCGGGTTTATCACGGTTTGCCGAGGGAAATTTTTTACTCGCCACCGGTCGTCACTCGAGTGTTATAAATCATAGTCGCGTCCGTTGCCACAATGCTTGGAAGGGAGAGGGAACGTGCAACATTAACGAGCCAACGACATTAACCACCGGTAGAGAAAAAGGAAGAAAGTGGCAGCGGGGTTACGTGAGTCACGTAACAAGGGAAAACGCCTAATCGATTCGGGTGCAAAAAAATACATCAATTTTATAGCCCGCGGAAGGCACCGCGGCGGCCATACTCGGGCCAGATATATAACGCCGTGATAACGTTAATTTATGCGCCGACTATGGAACACGCGCGTTACACGCGACACAACGTTGCCGGCGTTAACGTTGGAAAATCTTTCACTCCGCTGGAAGCATCAAGCGTTTTCCTGCGCGCGTTTCTGTGTATTTATATGCACCTGCGCGTGTGTGTGTACGTGCCCGCTTTGTGCGACCACGCTCGCTCTGGCCTTTACCCGAGAATTCTAAAATAACGCGAGAGGGGGATCGCATCGACCCGAGAAAGGAATGCATTTTCGCTCGAAGGATGTTGGATGACGTCACACGTCGGGGGCGAATTTGATCGGAGGCTTGAACTGCCGTCCCACGGATCGACCTCGTTTCCACGGGGTTGTATCGTGGAAACACGCGCGATTGGAAATTCGAGGTGTACGCATAAGGGGATCGCGTGGGACTCTTGTAATAAGGAGCGAAGAGAAATGTAGAATTTACAGATAATAATCGAAGAATTTAGAGATAGCAGAAAGCGGGTTGGATAATTCAGAGTGGCTAGTGAAGGGTGGATTCGATGGGAAATGGAAGAATAAGCTTTGAGTTCGGAGATATAGCTCGTAGAGAGTTGCCGAAACGCTGCAGCTCGCTCCCCCTCCACCGAGAGTCGAGTTTCCCCCACCACCGAAACCTGAGCTATCCCCACTACCTGGCTCACATGGTAGAGCACGCGAGTTGACGTCGCGGTGTACGAGAGTGACTTAGTTCGTTGTTTGGTTATGGAAAGTCTTCGTTTCGTGAATTTTGTATACGTTTTTGTCAACATTGTCAATTTTTACGTCGCATTTTCTGTATAGATAATTATCTTACACCGGATATTTTTATTTTACGAAAAGATTCCGCGTTTTTGATACCAAGAGAAGAAAAGATGGAAGAAAAATTATCGTAACTCCATTTCCCAAATTTTGAGAACTCACAGTGTCAAAGTATTTGGTTGACGTTTAACGTGTTGACTCATAAAATTGTAGACATTCTTACTTTACTTTTTCATCGATAGGTTCTCGAAATTCCTGTTTAAAACCAGTCTTCGTATTTACTGCAAGGTGCACGCGACAGCACAGCAATGACACGAGACGCGTTATATTCTCTTCTAATTAGAAGAGACAACGTGTATTTATTAAATGTACTTTTAATTACGAAGCAGTGTCGAAGAGGTGAGGGGAACAATGAAAAGAAGCAGAGGGTATATATCCGAGATTAGACGATGTCCGATAGGTGGCAGCAATGGCCAGTAATCCAGCAAGAGGCATTAGAATTCAGGAAAAATCCTGAACGGTGTTATTTAATGCAAGAAGAATATTTCAGAGCTGTTTAATACACCTTTTTCCATAATCGCGGAGGAATAATGACCAAAGTTCGCGCTCGCCATGATTGTCCTCTCACAGGTATCACTGGCACGGTTAGGTACGAGCGGGAAATCGATACGAGTTTCGTCTACCATTTTCTCGCGTTAATTGCCTCGACAAATTCGACTTCTCGTCGATCCGCGTTGAAATTTAGGACGAAAAGCGACGCCATCGTTCCCGGCCAGTTTCCCAATTCGAAATTCAAAATTCGCTCTCTTGAAATCCCTCTACTTCGGAGCTGGCTAGTTCTCAGGCGGCGATAAAAAGTCGCAACGACCGCTGGAATTGCGGTTGTTGTTTCCAGGTGAAATTCTCGCCGATTTAACGCTTTCTTTTCGCGTCTTCCACAGAGTGATATCGGTGGATTCGCTTGACCGACGAACGCCGCTTTCCACTCTTTACTTTTACAGATCCAGATGAATTCCATAGTTCAAATTTCACTTGCCATTAACGCCAACTTCGATGTCACTTTCTACCTTGTCGAGAGGCCGGTCAAATTTTCGCCTGTTTTTAATATCTCTTCGATTCTAGAATTTCCCATGCGAGAATTTCCATGTCCCTTGTGATTTTATAATTATAATAATTTTATAAGTGAGACGAATATTTGTTATTCTGTTACGTTTTTAGGGACAGTGTTTGGTTTACTCGGATGAAAATTATATTATAGTAAATTTTATTCTTCAGTAGGATTTTTAATTTTTGCTCGCATTAAAGATTAAAGGGATGCGGATATTTTTACCTCCCTGCAGTATCTTCCAATCAGGAACACTGGTAATGAAAATAATTACCGAGCTTGTCGATGAAAAGAATTTTAATATTATTAAAAATATTTCGCAAAAATTGATTAAA